TATTCTCTATCACAGTAGCTATACGTATCCAAGTTGTCATCCACTTCATCAGAATAAATAATTAAAGACTCGCATATATCTTACATAAAGTTCAGCTTTTTAGTCATTTCCTACCTTTTCTACTTAGGTGTTGTACTTTTTCCAGTTTTCTGTCGTTACGCTTTCGAGATCTTTCCGTAATTTTTAATAATTTATCCATTGCCACATCTCCAGCTGTGTTGCATGTTTGTTACAAATTGCTTTATTTCACCCCAAACGAATTCAATTGCATTAATAACGCAGTGGTACGTGGGCAGATGTCGAGCAGTAAATCCAAGTTCTCCGAACATTGAATCAAATTTATATGACTTTTCTTCAGGAGTACTTTGTTTCATAAGCTCCATCAAATCTACTTTCCGTAAACGCGGAGAGAATTGTAAATTTTTTAAAGAAATCACTGCATACTTTTTTTTCTTCTCGACTTGCCATGATTGGACATTTGGTTAACTGGACAGTATGGTAGAAGGCATTGTCTAAAATCACTACAGCATTTGATAGTAGATTCAGAATGAGTTTTTTACAAGTCCACTTTTCAAAAACAGAAGAATTTATTTGCCCATGAGAGTCCCCCCGACCGATGGGGCATTTGCTTTCCATATTAGAGATGTATGATGTAAAATTCCCATATCGCCTCCAGCCCATAAAACAATCTCATTTAGATGCATTGCTGCTCTTCCAGGATACCAAAAATTGTTTTTTGTTGCTAGCATTTTAAGAATGTTATGTTGCTATCCATTCAAATTTTGTCAAGAAAATGAGAGGATATTTTTTTTCAAAACGAAATTCCCTCACTTATCGAAGATACTGTACTCTTAGCACAATGTCACTTTTTTAATTAAAACTTTTCTCTTGTTTTCGGCTTTTTCTCTATACAAATCCAATATTATGCATCACATTTCTTAACGTTTCTCATTTGAATTTAAAATTTGTCTTTTCTTGCAACAAATTTTTTTTTTCTCATTAACATAAAGTTCATGGACAGTTCGTCGAATTCCATAGCAATCAAAACCATCTTTTTGGTTCCCTCCCCCCCCCAACTTCCGGAAGAATGGAAAACTGGCTCTTTCTCTTTTTCTGCCTCACGAAGAATTTTCTTTATTGTCGTTAGCGATAAATGTTAAATGTTTCTGGTTCTCTTCGTGAGCTGTGAGATGGGAATGCTATGTTGTCCATCTTCAGCTTCCATGTCACAAAATGTAATGACATCATAGTAGTAATTTCCTAGCATTGTGAAACGCCTTGTTTTTACCAGTTGTACTCATTTTAACGATAAAAGCAAGCTATTCCTAATACTTACACGAAAAACCACAATACTGGCCAATGTCACGTTAAAATCAACTACGATCTAGGTAAATTCATCGCAAATGGGGTTGAAACCTATTGACTAGTTTCTGTTTTTTCCTACGAAAGAATACTTAGTCCTATACCGCCCAACTAGGATAATGGTTAATGACGCTGATTGCCTTACCAAAGGACCCAGGTTCGAATCCCGGAGAAGGCATGGGTGTTTGTAAATATATAGCGTCTGTGCAGTATGGGGCACTCCAGATATGCGGCGAACCGAAAGTCCTCGCGAAAATTTGATGGTAGGGGAAGAAGGGGGTATGAAATCCTCAGACCCTCTGCCCTGGGCTGCTCTCCATCACAGTTGGAGGCGGAAGTCGTATTCTCACCTGTATGGTGTTCAAGGCTCTTGCCAACGACAGCGCAGTCTTGCACTCCTTGTCACGATGAATTTCGTGGGCTTGTTCTGATGTTGCTGTCAGACAAGTGAGATAAGCCACAACAACAGAGCATGTCCTATGATTTAGTGACCTTATCTTTAAATGAGAGAGAAAACAAAAGCGCGAAAGACAATTAACAACATTCGATGACATGGGGATTCCCCCCTCCCAACCGGTCGCATAAATTCACTTTTACCGCCAAAGACAGGACTTTCATGTCACCTCTTCCCAAGGTCCGTGACCTCTTCCCTCGCGGCACGTATTATGGCTCAATGTGTTTTTCCCTTTTGGAGAACTCTATGTGTTTTGGCAGAATGCCAGCCTAGGTTGTGTTTGAGACGACTGAACACGTGTGTGGGATTACGGTCGAATCAAACACGTATGGACGTATGGTATACGCATGCGTAAGTTTGCTATTTTTAATTGCATGCTCAAGAATCTAAAGAGTAAACTGAAACCGGGGAAAGCGAATAATCAGAAAGTACCTTATATTCTTCCGATTTTTCTCTTCCTTCGTTTTTATGATTATAACTCTTAACTGTTATTAATATCAGTCAACTGAAAACGAAAAAAAAAATAGGAATATTTACTACAAAGCACTAAGAATTTTTTTCATTCGGGTAAAGATTGCGCAGTGATCTGAAAAATGAAGGCTGTTTTCAAGACGTAAGAGAAGACGCGAGGCTGTTTTGTTTTTTCCCTTTCCGGACACGTACTCCTTTGGAGAGAGTAAGAACAAGTGAGAAGAGATAATATATGCTGTGGAGCGAAGCATGAAATTCGTTTTCAAACAAGCTTTCAGTTTAAGGGAATAACTGCTTTTAAGTCGAAGACCAACATATAGAGATAAGATCTCACCGTAAATTGTTAAATTAATCCATTAAATGCAGTTAAGTTTGTCCGTTTCATTTATTTATTTTTATTGGAAGTATACATATTTGTTAGTTGCTGATAGATATTTAATATCATCATAGTAAATAGCAGAAATAGTGTTATTTGCCAGTTGTTTATCGCTTTAAAGATTAAAACAAACAACACAGTTTAAAATTACTTTTATTATATGCATAATTAACTATGCTTTAATAAATGAAATAAATGGTAATTTAATAAATGAAATTACAGGTATTTTAAAAAGCATCTCATAACACAATTTCTTTTTTTCTTTCCTTTTTTTCTTTTTTCTTTTCTTTTTTTTTTTTTTTTTTTTTTTTTTTTCAGAATGTATTTTTTGAAAGAAATTTACTTTTTACTGCAACATGAACAGCAGTTAGCCATGACTGGTATATTTTATTCCTAAAAGTATTTCGACAATGGATAGTCGCCTTTTTGGAGTATAAATAGTCTTTTCGTAATGTAAAAAATATTAATGTATAATGTATAAAATAATGCAATAATTTAGTAATGTGTAAAATAAATAATAATTTCTTAATGTGTAAATGTTGCACTCCTGTTTTCTATTATTATGTAAGATTATACTTGAATATGTTTATTATATTTGAATTTCGAATAAAAATGAATAAAATATTTGCTCTTAATTCTTGCAATAAAACAGACATTAAATAATAAACTGTACTTTCTTTAAAGTTTTATTAAAGTTTTCGCCTGAACTTATCACGCACAAATACACAGATTTAAAATTTTCATGGCAGGGATCTTAATATAAGCAATGCTACAGATTTTAAGATTTTTTATTACTAATTTTTATATGATACATGTGAAATCAAAATTAATGCAACAAAAGTGCTTTCCCTCGTTTTTACTTACTGAAACTAACATTCTTATTTGCAATATCATCCTCTGATCACTTGACAGATAGAAAGTATATTAGAAAATATATTAGTTACTATGTCGTTTAGGGACTAGTTTCATCCTCCAAATCAAATTCTTCTGTAGTAACAATATTCAATTTTAACAATATAATATTCACAACTAATAACAATAATTTTAACAATATTTATTATTATTCTAAAGAATAATAATGAGTATCGTTAAAAGTGATCTGAATAATTGCTATAATATTAAAAAGTGATGAGGCAAAATAATCAGACTACTGACAGAAGTAAATATATTCTTAACACATAAGTATATTTTTATTTTTATTTTTCCTTTCTCTCTTTCACGCCTCTTCGTCTCTTTTTCCTCCGTGATAAATAGGAGAGGGGATGCTTATTTTTAATACAACTAAGAAAATTTTCAGAAAAGAACCAAAAATAAATAAATAAGTAAATAAATAAAATTTCTGAAAATTTAAAAATGTAAAAATCTTACTTTTTATTATTAATTAATTTAGAATTTGCAGATGGGTAAGATAATTCACTGCAAACATGCATCGACGCCCTATTTAAGAAAGAAGAAAATTCTAATTCAATTCACCTTTCGATCGAATTCCGTGATTCGATTCTGTCAAACATCTGAGTTCAGTCGCCTTTACGCGTGAGCTCTGATGGTCTTACTGGCAAGATAAACTGCATTTTTTATTATTTCAAATTATTTACTAAGAAATATCAAGCTATAATTCAATTATTAAATGAAATGCAGTAAAATTTAACGCACTGATTAAAAATTCCACTAGAAAACAGATCATAGTGATGTTGTTATCGAAATATTAAATCTTGCTATGCACTTTTTTGATTTATTTATTTGTTTACTATAAAAGCGCATAAAAATACATTGACATTGTCTGAGAAGGACCGTATTTCTCTTAGCAACACTTTTCTTTGAACATTCTTTTTTTCTTTAAATCAGATAAGTAAATTAGTAAGTAGTTATCTTCTCATTCGACTTACTTGAAGGGTACAAAAAATTTTTGGATGTCATCTCGCATACTGATTTATAGAAGATTAATATCAGCGTTATAATAATTTTTTTCTTTTTTTTTTTTTTTCCACGGTAAACTACTGCAATCTCTTCTTCATCAGTTTCGTAATAAACTTTAAGTGCTTAATATTATGTGATGACTCAAAGAGTAATTTCTGTAAGCAATTCGGTAATATCATGGGACGATTCTATTAAACAAGCAGGGGTGTTCCAAGATTCAGTATAAGACGAAAGACGGAGCAGCAACACGTTCTTTTCTTGCGAGAACCGGAATAAACGACGTTGGGAAAAATGACTTCGGCCATGTTACCCATGGGTGCAGTGATAAGAAAATCAAGTACGACCCCTCACTTCACTCGTTAAATCTGGACTACATATATCTATATTACATTTCGCCCCCTTTTTCCTCTCATAATTGTTCGAAAGAACATAGTTTGGAGCTTACATTTTGTGTATACTTTGCATGTTTACTGGGAAGTGAAAAGTCTACACTCGTTGTCGAGATTGTGAAGATTAAAATTTGCTTTCGAAAGATTAGATCGCTTTGTTAAGATTAGCTGTTCTTGAAAACAGCATTTTCTTGTTTGGAAAATCAATTAATCATAATAGCATATTTTTCTATTACAAGCGATAAAAAGTGGGAATTGATATTTCATTTGACTGAGATCACGTTTCTGAAAGCATGAAAATTCTAAAACATTATTTGGGGAACTTTCAGTGTTGACTGACACTTTAAAAATGTTTGAAAGTTTACAGTGGAAGTAAGTCGGTTTTTAATTGGAAACAAGACTTCTTTAGAATCTTCTTAAGGTACAAATTTTGAAGCTTACGCAATTAAAAAAGTTTTAATGTTAATAATAAATTTGCGTTATGTACCTATAATAATATCATTCAGACGTTTTTTAGCTTGTAGAGATAATTTTCTGAGCAGTATTTTCTATATTGAATGTAATAATTAAGTTTTTGTGTAAGCATTTTTTAAAATTTATATTTATTTACTATTTGAAGATGTTTTACACATATGCTAAAGATTTAAGGGTTAAAAAAAAATAATTTTTTCACAATATGTTGTTATTAAGTTGATCAGTCCTTACTATTATTATATATTTAAAAAGGCATTATTTCACTGTTTGGCTTACGTTTTATCATTTCTCACCAATTTAATATTTAAAAATATTACTTTGAATTTTTAATTATAGAAAGGAAATGCACTTAAATGTGAGTTTTAATGCCAGTTAATTTGTACCTTTTAATTAGAGGGTAAAATATATATTACAGGAGTATAATAATGCAAATTTTATAGCTAGAACTTCATTTTAAGAGTATGTATGTATAAGTTTTTTTAAATATTTCGAGTTTATAATTTTTATTCAACTCATTAACGGAGAAGAATACGATCCATTCCTTAGTGAAGGTAATTTTTTGGTATTAGCACTGCTAAGAAATTTCGTCAGTTTGCAATTAGTTACAGTTAGTGGAAATTTAACATTTTTATTTAAACGTTAACTCAAGCATGAGACAAATCACGGATAGTTGAATCCGAAAAGTTGCGATTATTGGACCATATTCTGTGGATTCCTTATTGACTTAATCAATCAAATTTGTTTATTTCAGGGAAGATTTTCTTTAAGAAGATGGTACTACGAAGAAACATTTCAAATACATTCAATTTACCAGACACTCATAAAATGCTGCAACAAACGTGCAGGAAATTTGCTGAAGAAGAATTACAGCCATTAGCTGCAAAATTTGATAAAGAACATTTGTTTCCCGGAGAACAAGTAATATTTTCCTTTTAATTTCAATATGGCGAATAAATAACGTTAAGCTTTTTTCAGTTAAGAACGCTTATAGTATTTATATATTATATGTACTAAGTGATTATTATATTTATATATACTTACTTCATTCAGATACATTCTACTAACTTTGTATTAGGAGATAATATAATCACTATTACTTTAGTAAATAAATTATTATTATCTTGTTTTGCAGCTATTGCGCATGTATTAAAAAATGATATATTCTTTATAAAAAGCACACATTAAAAAAAAAAAAAAATGTGACTCCCGTACTACAAAAATTGACCGATATATTTAGTTTTAAATTTGGACATCATTCGGGGACTGTAGAAAAATTGAAAAATGAAAAGCATTTGCATTTGACTAAAAGTAAAATATTAGTTTACGATAAGATTAAGATTTATGATTTTAATCGATTAAGTGATGAGCATTTCTGTGCATATTATCGGAAAAAATATTAAGGAATATATATATATATATTTTCAAAATGGGGAACCTTATAACAGAATCTTACAGAATTCTTTTTCTAGAAAACATTAGCAGGCTTCAATATTGTCATATTGCCAACAAGTAACATCATTTGAGTAGTTTAAAAAATGATTCTAGTTTGATGAATATTATGCATGATGTAATAAAATTGCATGAGACTATTAATAACTTATTTCTAACATTTCGAAACTTATAAATTATTTGTGTGAAAATTCTTTGGCATATCCTTTATAACAAAATTATAAATTAAACAATGTTGCGCCCTAGTAAATCGCAAAAGAATATAGCAGGGGTAATTAAGGAGGGAAAAATAAAATGTATTTATTAACCGACCTCTTTTAACTCGAAATTAAGGTAAAAAGTGGCAAGTTTTGAAACCAAATACCTCGTTCAATCTTTGTCCTACCAGAGTCAACTCATTATTGTTATAATAAGCTTGCATTTTCCAAAACATAAGTCTAGGGATCAGGAACTGTATAAAAAGTTATGTTTCGTATTTTATACACATTTATTTTTAAATTTAAAAATGCAAAAACATGAATACTTACATCATTTAAAATATTTTTATATTTTGGAAGTATATATCTGCGACAAATGGTGGAGAAACTAAAGGCTCAGTAAGACTCTTATGCACTCGGTACAAGAAAATACAAGAAAACTAAAAAATATTTGATAAAAATGTAAAGAGTTCGAAATAAGCAGATTTTGTAATGGGATGTGTGTGAGAAAACGGCGCATGTGGGGTGCCGCAAGTAGATAAAAGCGTAATGAGAGCATTAATCTCCATATTTCGTACGAATGTCGAATGGTATGCATTGCTACACGAATGCGGAGCTCGCCGACATGTGCCTTATCTATGGGCTGCGAAAAGGAAACCCAGCAACTGGTCAAAGATTGTGCTCGGGAATCATTCTTTTTACCTTTATATGTATAGTGTGCATGTGCACATTTTAAGGAAATATATATACACATTTTAAATCCGAAAATAGGGGGAAACGTCGGCAAATTCTGAAATAGTAGTTTTAAATTTCATTAGTTAAAATTACTATAGTTTTGAGTGCTTTAGCATTAAGAGATATTTACTTTGGCAAGGCTAATATTTTTTTTTAGAAAGTATATCTGGTGATTAATGGCGATTATACCATTTTATTTATAAAATTTATTTTCAGTTAAACTTTAAGAAACAATCCGTAAAACATACCACGTATATAAATGTATACTGTATATGGCATTTTCATTTATTTCATTCTTAAATACATTATTTCATATTTATATTTTCACATACATATGATAATAATAGTTCAGTGTTTGTATATTAAAAGCTTCCTATCAGGTTTGACTTTATAGATGATAAAACATATTATATGGGAGTACTGACGAATTCATTCAACCAAAAAGGAATTTTTTGTAGGAAAATTGCCGTAAAGATGTTACATATAAATAGTTAATTATATTATATTACACTGGAAGATACCTAATTACATAACCATCAGAGACGAGACTTAGAATTTTTTTAACAATTATCTTTTTATGATGTTGCTTTTTATAATGTATGGATTCGCAAATGATTAAATGCACATAAAACCTATGATAGCTTAGTAAAATTTATTTTTACCAAAAGGAACACTTCACAGTTCTGGAACTTTCCACAAAATACTTGTGCAGATCTTCACAGTATCACAGAGTACAATCAATTACGCCTCAAACTACTAAGGACGCCTTCAACGCCTTTTACAATGCAAGACACATCTAAAAAGTGAAGCTCTCAGTACTCCAAAGTTTAGTCTAGTCTGTGCGACTATAGCCGAAATGTCGCGCGGCTGCGCAACTTGTCCGGCTCTTGAAAATAAGCCCAAAGGGCACATGACGTTGCAGTTTCTTGACAAGTTTAGAGAGGTCAAAGGTGGTTACAGGGGGCGACCATGCGTCGCAAGCAGGAGCCGTGAGGATCTGTGTGAAATGTTTGTGTTGAACATCAAGAAACACAGACAAAATCCAACAATTTCAATCTTGACATTTGAATTTAAGACACATCATAAAATTAAACATATCATACTTTATTACATATTTACTACTGAAACGTAAAAGGAAAAACTTAAATTACAATTGAAAAATAAAAATAAAATAATTACATTATATACAATATGTACAATGGCATTGCGTACCCTTCATGAAAATTTTACGTTGGGAAATTTAAGTCCCTGGCGAGGTGGGCCGCGAGTGGTCTTAACGAGGCATCTTCATTAAGAATCACATAATCCAATACATTAAGATCGGTCATGTGAACACATTCATGAGCCTTGTTAAAGAATTTGATGTTTGCGTTATGCAAATACGTCTCGACGGATTCCATTTTTAAGTCCCGGTGTAGGGTGTGATTTGAAACGTAATAATGAGCATTAGTAATCATTCGAAGAGCTTTATTTTGTAAAATTTGTAACTTTTCTATCTCCTTCTTCTGTACAGTTGCCCAGGCGGGAGAGGCATATGAGAAGATAGGACGTATGATAGACATATATATGTGTCTTTTCCTTTTTAAGTCTAATCTGGAAGTCGCAGACAGAAGCGGCGTGAGACTTCGTAATACTCCGATAGTCTTTCCTCTAATGCAGTTAATATGTTCTTTCCATAGGAAATTTGAACAAAATTTTAGTCCAAGGTAGGTAGCACTTTTGACAACCGGTACTACAGTGTCAAAGAGTATCAGTTGTGTTGTCAAGGGATGATTCATCTTATTTTTCTTAAAGATAAGCAGTTTGGACTTATCAGCATTGATTGCTATTTTCCATTTGGCGCACCAATGTTCCAGCTTAGGCATAAATCTCTGCAGTTTCTTTAGGGCAAAATTCGGCGTCCCAGACTTGACAGCGAAAGCTGTATCATCTGCGTAGCACCCCATGAAGAAGTTTTGATCAAGGTGTTCAGCAGGTAAGTCTGCTACGTAAAAAAGATAGAGTACTGGCCCTAAAATAGATCCCTGTGGGACCCCGGCCTTTACTTCTTTCATAATCGATTTACTTTCTCCAATTTGAATGTGGAAAGTTCTGTTTGTCAGGAAAGAATAAATAATTTTAATCAGCGCATCACTGAACTTTAAGCTGATTAACTTATAAATAAGCCCCTCATGCCAGACGCGGTCGAACGCCTTCGCCACGTCCAGCATGAGTAAGGCAACATATCTCTTGTTATGCAGTGCACTGCCTATGAATTCGTTGAGCCGAACTAGCTGTTTAGTCGTTGAAAGCGCTTTTCTAAAACCAAATTGTTCTAGAGGTAGCTTATCCATGTGAGGCTGAATACGGCTAAGGATGATTCTTTCTAGTATTTTACCCATACTGGGTAACAGGCTAATGGGCCTGTACCCTTCTGTTTTAGTAAGATTTTTTCCCGGTTTAGGGAGTACTATCATCTTAGCAGATTTCCAGATTTGCGGAAAATAACTGTTATAAAGGCAAGCGTTTAGAATGCCTGTGAACCTGTTGACCATGTTAATCGGCAGCCACTTAAGCGCCACATTGTTAATATTGTCCTGCCCAGGGGCCTTCCTGTTCCTGAGTTTCTTGATGATGCTAAGTATTTCCTGGGGTGAAGTGAGCTCAAGATGACTCTGCGAATCATAGTTATCCTTCCAGTTAGAAACTGTCGAGTTTACAAAGGTAGAGAAATCCGGATTAGATGGTGATGTATTCTGGGTAAACTGCTTTTCAAAATGTTCCGCAAGCGTGTTACATTTTTCACTATTAGTAAGTGCAATCCCATGCTCGTGATAAATTGGTCTGTTTACCGTATTCTTATTTTTTAATCGTTTTACAAAAGACCAAAAAGAATTACTTGGCTCATTAAAGCTTTCTATCTTTTCGTCCCATAGCTCCTTACGGTAAATACTTATCTGTTTTTTGATTTCTCTACTGAGTCTATTCATGTCTTTCTTTGTGTTCGGGTCATAGGTAAGGTGAAACCTCTTTCTGATCTTGTTCCTGTCTCTGATAAGATTTTTAATTCTAATTGGCAGTTTATTTGTGATATGCTTTCTTGGAATCTTTCTGGTGGCAGCGTCATAAGCGTTTTGTATATCTGTCGTCAGCTGCCTCGCAGCACGCTCTATGTCGTCGGGAGTGCGTAACATAAGGTTTGTGCGACTTTCAGAGAGAATTTCATTATATTCCCTCCAGTTCGTCGTATTGATAAGCTCTTCCATGACTTCCTTAGTCGTGCCAAGAGTCGCAATGACTGGGCAGTGATCCGAGTCCAGATCCTGTAAGACCACTAGGCTAAAAGATAGTGAGATGGTAGAAAGGAAGATGTCAAGAATATCACCCGAATTACCGTTATTGGGCAAATAAGTGTGCTCACTCGGCACATGTAAATAAACCGGGTAATTATTAATGAACTCCGACAATTTAATACCGTTATTATTAGTCCTCCTGCAGTACTCCGAAGTCAGCTCGGACGAGCTAACAACTGAGAGCTGGGATTGCGAAGGTGTAGAA